ACTGACACCTCCCCTCCCTCCCCTGAGCCCTGACACTTCCCCTCCCTCCCCTGAGGACTGACACCTCCCCTCCTTCCCTCTCCTGAGCACTGACACCTCCCCTCCCTCCCCTGAGCCCTGACACTTCCCCTCCCTCCCCTGAGGACTGACACCTCCCCTCCTTCCCTCTCCTGAGCACTGACACCTCCCCTCCTCCCCTGAGCCCTGACACTTCCCCTCCCTCCCCTGAGGACTGACACCTCCCCTCCCTCCCTCTTTCCCCTGAGCACTGACACCTCCCCTCATTCCCTCTCCTGAGCACTGACACCTCCCCTCCCTCCCCTGAGCCCTGACACCTCCCCTCCCTCGCTCCCCTGAGCACTGACACCTCCCCTCCCCTCCCTCTCTCCCCTGAGCACTGACACCTCCCCTCCCTCCCCTGAGCACTGATTCCTTCCCTCTCTACCCCTTCTGAACAGTGACTCCTCTCCCTTCACTGCAGAGCATGACTCCTCCTCTAATCCTACTCCAAAACAGTGAGTCCTCCTTTCCTTCCCCCTCGAAAGCAGTGACCCCTCCCTCGCACTTCAAAATAGTGACTCCTCCCCTACCTCCCCCTCCTGAGCAGTGACTCCAGTCCCTTCGCTCCAAAGCAGTGATTCATCAACCTTCACTGTAGAGCAGTGACTCCTCCCCTTAATCCCACTCTAAAACAGTGACTCCTCCCCTTCCCCCCTCCAGAGCAATAATTACTCATTTACTCTAAAGCAGTGACTCCTCCCCTTCCCTTCCTCCTGAGCAGGGATTCCTCCCCTCCCTCCCACTCCAAAGCAGTGACCCCCCTCCTCCCACTCCAAAGCAGTGACCCCCCCTCCTCCCACTCCAAAGCAGAGATCCCTCCCCCCAGCAGGGACTCCTCCCCTCCCTCACCCTTAGAAGTAGTGATTTCTCCCCCCTTCACTCCAGAGCAGTGACTCCTCCTCTGCCTTAGCCTCCTGAACAGTGACTCCTCCCCTGCCCCTTACTTCAGAGCTGTGACTCCTCCAGTCCCTCCCTCTCCTGAGCAGTGACTCCTCCCCTGCCTCCCCCTTTCAAGGCAGTGACCCCGCCCCTGCCTTCCCCATCAAAGCAGTGACTCCTCCCCACACTGATCAGGACTACTTCCCTCCCCTCTCAGAAGTAGTGAACAATCCAAAGCAATGACCCCTCATCCCCCCTCCCACTCCAAAGCAGAGACCCCTCCTCTTCCTCCTACTCTAAAGCAGTGACCCCTCCCTCCCACTCCAGAGAGAGAGAGGCTCCTTCCCACTCTCTCACTCCTCTTCTCTTTCCCCCTCAAGTGCACTGAATCCTCCCTTCCGTCCCCAAGCAGGAGAGTGACACCTCCACTCACTTTGACTCCAGAGCAGTGACTCCTCCTCTCCTTCCCCTTCAAGACTAGTGACTTCTGCCCTTCCTCTTACATTATAGCAGTGACTCCTCCCCTTCCTGTCCTATGCAGTGACTCCTCCCCCACTACAGCACAGTGACTACTCCCCACCCTCCTACTTGAATAAAATGACTTAGCCCCTCCCTTCCCCACATGAGCAGTGACTCCTCCCCCCTCTCCCTCCCAGAACAGTGACTTCGTGCCTCCCTTCCAAAATGGTGTATCTTCCCCCACTGCAGAACAGTGACTCCTCCCCTCCCTCCTTACTGAACAGTGACTCCTCCCCCCTCTAGGCAGCGACACTCCCTCCTTCTATATGGTTTTATCTGAGCTGTCAATCAGAGACAGAGAGTCTAAAAGGAGGCAGATACTGCCTTGTTGTGTTCAGAAAATCCACAGTGCTCTGGGAATCCAAATCCTGTACTGAATGTTAATTAATTCATTAATTAACATAAAAATTGTATATACTGTATAAAAAAAAAAAATAAAGCTGCTTTAAAAACAGATGACCTTTATAGAACATTTAAACAAAATTGCCTGGCAGAACCCCTTTAATGCTCGGTGACACCTTCGGGCACACACAGAGTGAAGTTCTCTGATCTGTATAAAGCTGAATTCGTCTTGAAATCTTCTGACAATCTGCTCTGTGTCACCCAGCAGACTGCCTCAGATTAATCATCCCCAGTTCATGTGGTCAGCTGGAGATTAAACCAAACCGGAGGAGTCCCAGATCATCAGAAGAACCAAACTACAGACAACTGTCACTCCATTATTCCAGACTGTACTAATCCTCCGAGATATCTACACAGCATGACTGCTTCCAAATAATGGGATGTCTGTACTACGAAACACGGGGCCACGTGGCACTCTGCTCACAAAACAGTACACACCATTTTACATTTATATAGCTCTGACATATTCCATAGTGCTGTGCAGAAAACCAGAGCCATGTCCCACCGCAGTCACACACTATTATCACTATACATTTATATAGCTCTGACATATTGCCAAAAGTATTGGCCTGCCTTTCCACGCACATGACCTTTAATGGCTTCCCAGTCTTATGCAGGCCATAGATGGGTCGAAAATCGGCCGATTTTTCGGCCGAAAATAAAATCGGCCGATTTTCGGATCGTTAGTGGGCTAATTGTTCGGCCGTTTTTCGGTATTTTGGCAGATTTTTTTCATCGGTAAAGTTGAAAAAAAAGCGTCCAATTTTGCCGATCGGCCGATTTTCGCGGCAATTATGGGCAAATCGGCCGATCTTTTTACCGATAAAAAAATCTGCGCGTGAGCAGTGACCTGCAAGAGGAAGACAAAAAGAAGAGGATGAAGAAGAAGAAGAAGAGGAAGAGGAAGAAGAAGAGGATGAAGAAGAAAAGGAAGAAGAGGATGAAGAAGAGGAAGAAGAAGAAGAGGAAGAAGAAGAGGATGAAGAAGAAGAGAATGAAGAAGATAAAGAAGAGGATGAAGAAGATGAAGAAGAGGATGAAGAAGAAGAAGAGGATGAAGAAGAAGAAGATGATGAAGAAGAAGAGGATGAAGAAGAAGAGGATGAAGAAGAAGAAGAAGAGGATGAAGAAGAGGATGAAGAAGAAGAGGAAGATGAAGAAGAAGATGAAGAAGAAGAAGAGGATGAAGAAAAGGAAGGAGAAGTAGAGGATGAAGAAGAAGAGGAATTCCAGTCCGGCAAAAAGTGTCCCTGCAGAGAGCTCCGCTATTTCTTTGACAGTTCCTTGACATTTATAGCGGTTGCAACAATGTATCTATTTGTTTCCGAATAAAAACATCTGTATCCGAAATGGATACAAATAGATACATTGTTGCAACGTCAAAGTCTATAAATGTCAAAGAACTGTCAAAGAAATAGCGGAGCTCTCTGCAGGGACACTTTTTGCCAGCTGTAGTACGGATGAAAATCGGCCGATTTTTTTTACCGTTGCTGGTAACGTCGGCCGCTTGAACGACCGATTTTTCGTTTTTTTAAAGAAAAATCATCCGGTTTTCTCCCCATCTATGGCCTGCATTAGTCCGTAGGGTTCAATATTGAGTTGGCCCCGCCCTTTGCAGCTATAACAGCTTCAACTCTTCTGGGAAGGCCGTCCACAAGGTTTAGGAGGGTGTCTATGGGAAGGTTGGACCATTCTTCCAGAAGCACATTTGTCAGGTCAGGCACTGATGTCGGGGGAGAAGGCCTGGCTCACAGTCTCCACTCTAATTCATCCCAAAGGTGTTCTATGGGGTTGAGGTCAGGACTCTGTGCAGGCCAGTCAAGTTCCTCCACCCCAAACATGGTCATCCATGTCTTTATAGACCTTGCTTTGTGCACTGGTGCGCAGTCATGATGGAACAGGAAGGGACCATCCCCAAACTCTTCCCACAAAGTTGGGAGCATGAAATTGTCCAAAATGTCATAACTAAAAAATGTTGCGCTCCCAATCTCTAACAAACTTATAAATTAGTGACTTCAAATTATATATTCATGAAAAACAAACAATATACCATACATAAATAAATGAATATCAAGTTAAATGTGATGTGAATCAAATAAAATAAAAAAACAGTCCCATTAGTCAAATAATAGTCCACAAAAAGGGATTTGTGATGACGGGATCCAAACACACCAATTGTGACTTTTCGTGAATCCTTAAATCATTAAAGATGTGCGCTCACCTCCTTACACACCTAACAGATAGGCTTAATACACTTCTTGTTCACATACATGGAACCTGCTAGAATTTGCTGCAGCATGGAATGGATGTTGGATACTCCTATGTACTCCACAATGCTTCTCTCCTTTTACACTCGTTATCCCTGCAGGGATCTCTCCCTCCTTCAGCTGCTCAGGATCCCCTGCTCACTCCTCTTAGATGTTCCTCAGTGTCATGTGTGCCCCGGAATTCCAACCCTCTGATGAAGCCAACGTTCTCAGCTGATGTTCTCACGCCCTCAGCTGTCAATCGCCGGATCCCGGATGGTGAAAACTCACCGGCACCCGGTGATTGAGGATTATTACCGACGGAGGGAGAAAACTGTATATAAACAATACAGTTCTCTCCCCTGTCAGCTCCTGCACACTGCTATGCATGGCTTTGTATAGCACAGCCATACAAAGCAGTGTGCTTACAGTGAAGCACACACATAGCCCCTATAGTAAAACAGCACACAGTTAACCCTTTGATTGCCCCTCATGTTAACTCCTTCCTGCCCAGTGCCATTAGTACAATGTCAGTGCTTTTTATTAGCACTGATCACTGTATTGGTGTCACTGGGGATGTCAGTGACACCAAGTCAGTTCCCCCCCAGTGTCAGAATGGCCGCCACAGTCCCGCTATAAGTTGCTGATTGCCGCAATTATTAGTAAAACAAATTTAAAAAATCCCAGTATCTATACCGCCATTTGTAAACACTATAGCTTTCACGTAAACCAAATAATTTACACATATTTGGATTTTTTTTTAGCAAAGACATGTTGTGGGATACACTTTGGCCTAAATTTATGATGACATTTGATTTTTACATTTTTTTACTGGACATGTTTAATAGCAAAAATATAGTTTTTCTTTTCAAAATTGGTCTTTTTTTGTTTATAGTGCAAAAAATAAAAATTGCACAGGCAATCAAATAACACCAAAAGAAAGCTCTATTTTTGGGGAAAAAAGGACTTAAATTTCATTTGGGTGCAGCATTGCATGACTGCGCAATTGGCAGTTAAAGTAATGCAGCGCCGTAACCAGGGGCGGACTGACCATTTGGAAACTCGGGCACTGCCTGAGGGCCCAGGGTCAGTAGGGGGCCCCATGAGATGCCCCTGGTACCTTTTTCATAGGGTTTTTTTGAGTTTGGGCAAGGTCACAGAGGTCCCATGATCCTCTATTGCACGGGGGGTCAGTAGGGGGCCCCATGAGATGTCCCTGGTACCTTTTTCATAGGCTTTTTTGAGTTTGGGCAAGGACACAGGGGCCCCATGATCCCCTCTTGCCCGGGGGCCCCATGAGTTGTCAGTCCGCCCCTGGCCGTAACACAACAAAATGGCCTGGTCAGTGGGGGGGGGGGGGGGGGGGAAATCCTCTGGAGGGCAAGTGGATAAGTTACACACAAATAGGAAACAAAGTCTAATAATAGTGCAGCACTATCAATAAATGTTCATAGAACATAATAGTGAAGACATAAGTAATTAGATAGGAAAAACAATGCCAATATAATGCCCCTTGCAGGACCTCATGCATAACAGGGGGTCTCTCCTTATGACACATACAGTCCCAAATGAGTGAGTCCCCAGTAGGTAGGTGTCCTATAGGTGAAACAACACACTCAAAAACTCTTCATGCAGGTGCTTCAAACTCTGTGTGAATCCACAGTGACAGGGGTGCCCCCTCACCTTCCTGCCCAGGCCCCTCAGGACCATTGAGCTAGATATGCCTCTTTATGATCCTCCAGAAGGATTGGGGTGCACCAAGATGGCACCCACGCCGGATGTGATGTCACTACGTGAACTCCTTCGGCCCTTCCTACTGGCGTATCTACGCGTTACATCACAATTAAAACCACGTGACTTCCTCAGGATATACCTGGATGTCAGATCCTCATTTCTGAAGGCTTGTGTTACAACCGCATGATCACCAGTACTCCAGGTAACAACAATCGCATTGTGCTGTTCCTCCACTTCCTAACTCTTTGGTCACTCTCAAGCTCTACAGGAAGCACAATTGAACAGGATTAGCCATGGGGAGGCTGCTATTGTTACAGACCATTACTTCGAGAAGTGATAATCAAGAGGCTGTAACACAAGCATTTATAGATCTTCAGAAATGCAAGGTCAGATGTTTCCTGCAAACCCCACCCCCCAATCCTTGGACAGCCCAAGGGCGGACTGACAACTCATGAGGCCCCCGGGCAATAGGGGATCATGGGGCCCCTGTGTCCTTGCCCAAACTCAAAAAAGCCTATGAAAAAGGTACCAGGGGCATCTCATGGGACCCCCTACTGACCCCGGGCCCTCGGGCAGTGCCCGAGTTTCCAAATGGGTCAGTCCGCCCCTGGGACACCCATATACCAGACATCCATATACTGGGTCTGGTTTCCAGTAGATGTCCATATACAGTGGCAGGTCTTCAATAAACAGTCATACACTGGGTCTGGTCTCTGTTAGACTTCCATGTACTGGGCCTTGTCTCCATTATACATCCATATACTGGACCTGGTCTCCATTAGATATCTATATATTTGGTCCGTTCTTTTTCAGGTCTCCATTATACATTCATATATTGGGCCTGGTCTCCATTAGATTACTATATACTGGGCTTGGTCTTCATTATACTTCCATATACTATGCCTGGTCTTCATTATACTTCCATATACTGGGCCTGGTCTTCATTATACTTCCATATACTGGGCCTGGTCTTCATTATACTTCCATATACTGGGCCTGGTCTTTATTATACTTCCATATACTATGCCTGGTCTTCATTATACTTCCATATACTGGGCCTGGTCTTCATTATACTTCCATATACTGGGCCTGGTCTCCATTAGACTGCATATACTGGTTCTGCTCTCCAATAGACATACATATACAGTGCTAAGTCTCCATTATAGATCCATATACTTGGCCTGCTCTCTATTAGATGCCTTTATACTGGAGCCAGTCTTAGCTGGTTGTCTATATACTGGGCCTGTTCTCCAATAGGTGTCTATATATATAATGGGCCTGGTCCTCAGTAGGTGTCTATATACTGAGCCTTGTCTCTAATAGGTGTCTATATACTGGGCCTGGTCTCCAAGAAGTGTCTACATATTGGGCCTGGTCTCCATTAGACTACTATATACTGGGCCTGGTCTTCATTATACTTCCATATACTTGGCCTGGTCTCCTTTAGACTACATATACGGGTTCTGCTCTCTAATAGACATCCATATACAGTGCTGTCTCCATTATACATCCATATACTTGGCCTGCTCTCTATTAGATGCCTTTATACTGGAGCCAGTCTTAGTTGGTTGTCTATATACTGGGCCTGTTCTCCAATAAGTGTCTACTGTATATATTGGGCCTGTTCTCCAATAGGTGTCTATATACTGGGCCTGGTCTCCAGTAGGTGTCTATATACTGAGCCTGGTCTCCAATAGGTGTCTATATACTGGGCCTGGTCTCTAAGACGTTTCTGTATATTGGGCCTAGGACCTGGGACATTGCCAGGTCTCCATTATACAACAATATACTGGGCCTGGTCTCTGTTAAATGCCTTTATACTGGAACCAGTCCCAGCTGGTTGTCTATATACTGGGCCTGTTCTCCAATAGGTGTCTACTGTATATATTGGGCCTAGTCTCCAATAGATGTCTATATACTGGGCCTGGTCTCCAATAGGTGTCTATATACTGGGCCTGGTCTCTAATAAGTGTCTAATATCCTGGGCTTGGTCTCCAATAGGTGTCTATATATTGGACCTGGTCTCCAGTAGGTGTCTATATACTGGGCCTGGTCTCCAATAGGTGTCTAAATACTGGGCTTGGTCTCTATTCAGTCTCTATATACTGGGCCTGGTCTCCAGCGGGTGTCTATATACTGGGCCTGGTTTCCATTAGATTTCTGTATACTTGGTCTGTTCCCCATTAAACATGCATATACAGTGCCAGGTTTCCATTAAACATCCATATACTGGGCCTGATCTCCATTAGATCACCATATACTGGGTCTGGCCTTCAATAGACATCCATATACCGTTCTATGTCTCCATTATGCATTCATATGCTGGGCTTGTTCTCCATTAAACTACCATATACTTGGTCTGGTCTCCATTATACATACATATATTTGGCCTGGTCTCTATTAGATGCCTTTATACTGGGGTCAGTCTTAGTTGGTTGTCTACATATTGGGCCTGTTCTCCAATAGGTGTCTATATACTGGGTCTGGTCTCCATTGGGTGTCTATATACTGGGCCTGGTCTGTAATAGGTGTTTATATACTGGGTCTAGATTCTAATAAGTGTCTATATGTGCCTGGTCCCCAGTGGGGGTCTATATACTGGGCCTGGTTTCCATAAGATATCTGTATACTTGGTCTGTTCCCTATTAGACATGCATATACAGTGCCAGGTCTCCATTATATATCCATATACACTGCTAAGTCTCCATTATACATCCATATACTGGGCCTGGTCTCCAATAGACTACATATACTGGGTCTGGTCTCCAATAGACTACATATACTGGGTCTGGTCTCCAATAGATTACATATACTGGGTCTGGTCTCCAATAGGCTACATATACTGGATCTGGTCTCCAATAGATTACATATACTGGGTCTGGTCTCCAATAGACATCCATATACAGTACTAAGTCTCCATTATACATCCATATACTGGGCCTGGTCTCCAATAGACTACATATACTGGGTCTGGTCTCCAATAGACTACATATACTGGGTCTGGTCTCCAATAGATTACATATACTGGGTCTGGTCTCCAATAGATTACATATACTGGGTCTGGTCTCCAATAGACATCCATATACAGTACTAAGTCTCCATTATACATCCATATACTAGGCCTGGTCTCCATTAGACTACATATACTGGGTCTGGTCTCCATTAGGCTACATGTAGTGGGTCTGGTCTCCAATAGACATCCATATACAGTGCTAAGTCTCCATTATACATCCATATACCTAGCATGGTCTCTATTAGATGCCTTTATACTGGAGCAAGTTTCATTTGGTTGTCTATATTTTTGGGCCTGTTCTCCGATAAGTGTCTATATACTGGGCCTGGTCTACAATAGGTGTCTCTGTATACCAGACCTGGTGTCCTTTGGATGTCTGTATATTGGACCTGTCCTCTATCAGATGTCTATATACTGGACCCGGTGTTCATTAGTGCTGAGTTCTCTTATCAGCAGCTCTTGCAGATACAAGCGGGATTTGTGCCTTGAGGTTCATTCACAAATTCCTGCCACCCCTGCGCTTGAATCACAAATGAGATCTTCTAGGAATGAAACAGCGTCTATTATGTATTTTATCTCTGCAGTCTACAATACAGATACTGCAGAGAGGATTGGACAGCAATGAGTAGCCAGTTCAAGTGAGCTGCGTGCTGATCGTTGTAAATGATTTAATTACATTTGCAGGAGGCATTAAGAGACTCCATAATTCAGCACTAATAGATAGGATTATGGGTAGTTATGTGAATTGGCGGCTGCAGCCTCACTGATTTAAAGGGTCACTCCACCTGCAAAAGAATGCCTTCATAGTTCAGAACAGCAGAAGGAAGCTTGCTCCCGTGAGCTTACACTCTATACTCTGCCTGCCTAGTTTGCATACCTAACTTTATGGCTCCTCTAAAAGAATAGGTATATAAGAATAGTATTCCTTATATAGCACCAACATAGTCTGCAACACAGTATTGTCTCCTGTCTCTGAGCCATTTCCTACATTATATTTGAGGACATTTTTCTAATTGTTATCTCATGGTGGACACATTTCCCTGAGGGGACCTCCTGATTTGGTGGTCAGTCAGTGTTCCCCCACTAAGCACTATTTCTCTGCTGTGTCTGGAGGGGTCTGAGTACCTTTTTGGGGACCCTGTTCTGGGGGACTCTGAGCTCCTTTTTGAGGGGCTCCTTCTCAGGGTACTCTGAGCTCTTTCAGGGGATTTTTTTTTTCTGGTGGACTCTAAGCTCCTTCTGGGTTTCTACTTTCTGGTGGGCTCTGAATTCCTTTTTAGGGTTCCTTCCCAGAGGACTATGAGCTCTTTGTGGTGAACTTCTTCCTGGGAGATCTGAGCTACTTTTGGGGGACTCTGAATTCCTTTTGGGGGTTCCTTCCTGGGGGACTCTAAACTATTTTGTGTGGGGGGGGGGGCTTCTTCCTGGGGGACCTGAGCTTCCTTTAGGGGACTCTGAAATCCTTTTGAGTGGTTCCTTCCCTGGGGGCTCTAAAATCTTTCTGTTTTTTATTTTTTCTGGTGGACACTGGTTCCTTCCCGGAGGACTTTGAGCTCTTTGTGGT